CGGTGGCTAAAGAGAAAATAAAATGTTTGCTTCTCTGAAAGCAAAGGTAAAATAGCAGCTATAGTCTTGTAACCTGTGGGTGTGAAGAGACCGAGAGAAATTACAAAGCGTGTCAGGTGTGCGAGTGGAGAAATAATATAATTTGGCTGTTCTAGAGCAGCAAGATCCTAGATCCTCTGAAGAAGAGATGACTGTGAATAGAAATCAAATGCGTGTGCTGTAAACTGGAAAGACTTTATGAACTTCTTTCAGGCAAATGTTTAGGTTAATTACAAAAGCGTAACGAAATTCAATATTTAATATATGTAGAGTTAGTCAGCATTATAAGACTTATTTGGGAATTGCTGTTATCATTATAATATTTTTATAAGCCATCTATCTCTTTCTTTCTTTCTTCCTCCTGTGCTTTTTTTAGTTAATTGTGGAGATTTCTTCGGTGTCAGCAGATTCTCTAAATTACTGTGCGAACAGCGGATTAATATCGGAGTTAATTGGAGAGCTGACGGGAGACGACGTGCTGGTCAGGTGTGTCGGGAGCGGGATTGCTGATGACATTTCCCCCATTGTTTTGACTCATGTTCAGCCTTAAAATAACACTCTTGAAAGATATTTGTATGTTTCTTGTGAAACTCTTTTCAGGGAAATGCTTTATCTGCCTCTTCTTAAACAGCTCTGAGTGTAAAATACCGTGTCCTTAAATTTGAGAGCCGAGATGAAGTTTCCCCAGTATTTTGTAATAACTGTAGTGCTGGGCTGCAATATAAACACTTTTGTAACTCTTTCCACCTACACACTGTAAGATGGATTGGGGTTTTGTTCGTTTGGGTTTTGTTTTAAGGGTAGAAAACCTGTTTTTCTTAATCACTGGGTACTTCAAAACCCCGTCCGAAATAGGCCAAGAATGCCCGTTTGTCTGTTACAGGGCCACGTGTATAGAGATGGTGACCTCGCTGGCGCACACTCCGCACGGGCGTCAGTATCTTGCTCAACAAGGAGTCATCGATAAAATTTCGAACATCATCGTCGGCGCCGAGTCTGATCCTTTCTCAGCCTTCTATTTACCAGGTTACGTCGTGCGTTTCTTGATCCTGGGGTTCACTGCTTGCTTACATTAACGAGTTAGAGGGGACTGTTAAGCCTCTCTTTTGATAGAATTTTTGAATATTAGAATGTCTATGTTGGATTTACAAAAAAAAAATGCTGAAGGACAGTGAATAATATTACTTGTTAATAAGGGTGGTACAGGTAAGATCTGAAGGGACTTTGCTATATGTTTGAAGCTTATTGCAGCCTTTTTTTATGACTTCAAGAAGAAAGCTGTTACATCATGAATTAAGGAACTTCCAAAATACTGACTTCTTCCTTGATGCCTTTCACAGACAGCGTTCAGACTTGGTAACACTAGTTTAACAGTGAAACAATCGTTTATGTGTGTTTAATTTTGACAGTGTTAATGTTATTGTTCCTCCATTCTGAATGTTTTTCCTTTTTTTGGCCTTGTTCTCTCAGGATTTGTTAAGTTTTTTGGAAATCTGGCTGTCGTAGACAGCCCGCAGCAGATCTGCGAACGATACCCTGTCTTTATGGAAAAAGTCTTTGAAATGGCGGAAAGTCACGATCCGACCATGATTGGAGTGGCTGTGGACACGCTGGGAGTCCTGGGATCAAATGTGGAAGGCAAACAGGTTTTACAGAAATCTAGTGAGTATCGGTTCCTTCTTTAATGAAACTTTCTCAGTGAGTTGTAATATACAAGAGTGAATTGGTTTGGTGTAATAGGGAAAGGAATTGAAAAACGTATTTATCTAATAATGAAGGGCGTCTGAGTAGCAGATAAAGTGATTTTTAACTGTCTTGCGAGGCATGGTGATGTGAAATGCCTGGCAGCTGGAATTCTGGGGTCGCAAACATGATTCAGATTATTCTTTTCTAGTGAGTCACATCGTAGAAATCATCAGTAGTTGAGTTATTTTGGTTTTCTCTGTTTCTGCTGATGTCATGACCTTCTCACCAGGGTTCAGAAAGCATGAACTTGCGTATAATGATGCTTTTTGTAAAGGTTGCATTGTTTCTCTTAGTAGAAAACTGTCCAGAGGATTGAAAGTAGGTGCTAGACTTCTTGCTGCTAGTCTAAACTTTGCTTTTTAACTGAAAATCTGTATCAGCAGATTCGCTCTTGGAGTGTTGTAGAATGGGATTGAAGATTTTTGATGACAAGCATACTACTGGGGTACGCACTCCTCGAGATAACTTGGTTATTTGTGTGATGTAACTTCCTTTTTGGAACTGTTGGGGTGGTCTGGAGAACTACTGTAAAAGCTTTGGATTTGTTTATCCTAGATCCATGTGGAGCAAAGAGGATCTTTTGTTATAGTAGATGAAGTTGTCTTTCTCTGGTTTAACGTACAGCACTCTTGCCACCAGTTAATGTAGTGTAGCGTGACTGACGGATGACTTACACTCCTGTAGAGATCTATCTGAATTAATTAAAAGCATTTTTTTTTAATGTTCAAAGGAAGCAGATTTCAAAATCTGTTGAACAGAATAGGGCACCAGGCGAAGAATGCCCCCACGGAGTTACGGCTGCGGTGCTTGGATGCAATTTCATCTCTTCTTTACCTGCCTGTAAGTTTGTGGTTGGGTTTGTTGTTTGGATTTTTGGCTGGTTGGGTGTGGCTTGGTTTTTAGATCTACAAAAATGAAATGATTGTGCATCTGGCTTATTGTGTGAAGACCTTTAGCAACATCTAGTTTAGGAGGAAGCAGTAGCTTTCTAGTATCCCGAGTCATTAACTTTACTCTTTGGAAATTCCTCAGTTTATTTGTTTACTTGAAGCTTGAGTTTGTTTGTAAGAAGCCAGGTGTTCTGAAATTGGAAGTCAAGACAACGCTGGCAAAGGAGTGAGAGGAAACAGGTTAATGTCCTTGTGCTTTCAAGGGATAGTGGAGAACTCCTGAAATCCCTGTGTATGGTCTTTAGATCCAGTGACCTGGTTTTAACAGTGTAGCTCAAAATAAGGGAATGAGCCATTTTCATTTGTCTTGCGGGGCTGCACCCTGGAGCAGCACATCTCGTGTAACAACATCAATTTTTTTAATTCTGCCCTCCGAGCAGAAACGTAGAAACATAGAAAAGTAGAAACGTAGAAAGTTGGAAACTTGACCAGTTTGATCTGCTGGTGGTTCCTTTTAAATTATTTCCTTAGCGACTGAATGTATACCCCAAGCTTTTCATAATCCTAATTAAACTCTTTCATTTTCGTACGCGATGCCTGCAGCCGGAGCAGCAGACAGAAGACCTTTTAAGAATGACCGAATCGTGGTTCACCTCCCTGTCCAGCCAGCCCCTGGAACTTTTCAGGAGCATCAGTACTCAGCCCTTCCCCGATCTCCACTGTGGGGCTTTACGGGTATTTACTGTAAGTGCTTTTTGATTTTAATGATTTTAATGAATTGTATTGCCATTCAGTCTCAGATCTGAAGTTTTTTTTTTAAGTGAATGCCACAAACTTCTTGTTGAAGTCCTGAAGGGGTCAGAAATTCAGGCCTTTTTGATTGTGCCCCACTTGCATTCATCGTTTAAATAGTGCAGCCGATGTGTCTTGCCTGTAATGCTTGTTTTCTTATAAATTGGAGAAGAAAAAAAAAAGCAACGGCTTTGCTCCAGAGTGCTACTTTGATATTGGAGTCACTGCTGTGATAATGAACTTAAAACTTTAACGATAAGCACTGAGCTGTACTTGTTTTACAGTGTTAAACGCTGCTGCTTGATTTGAGTGGTGCTCAAATCTACTCCAATTCTACTTTGTAGAATGAATATAATTTTTTTTTTTTCTGTTTCTTGGCTATGACTACTTTATAGAATGAATTTATTTTTTTTCCTGTTCCTTGGCTCTTTGCATGCCAGCCTACTTGCGTAACTGATTTGGGAATTTTTAAAAAAGAGGTGTTTCCCCCTCCCCTTTCTTTTCTCTTCATGTTTAGGCTATCGCCAACCAACCGTGGGCCCAGAAGCTGATGCTTGCCAGCCCAGGGTTTGTGGAGTACATTGTAGACAGATCGGTGGAGCCTGACAAAGCTTCGAAGGATGCCAAATACGAACTCGTTAAGGCCCTCGTAAACTCTAAAACCATTGCGGAAATCTTTGGCAATCAGTATTACTTGAGGCTTAGGGCTTACCTGCGGGAAGGCCCCTACTACGTGAAGGCAGTCTCGACTACAGCTGTGGAAGGAGCAGAATAATGTCTTGGATATCTTGCTTCCCCTTCTTGCAAATCATGATACTGAAACAAGCGTTAAGCTCAAAAGTGTAAAGACTCTCCTTGCCAAAGTCTCTTTAGATTGTCTCTTTAAAGGAATGTGAAGCACTTTTGACTCGATTTGAAATGAGGGTCAGGAGAGCAAGTCAGAACCTCTAGGGCACAGCGTAATTTCCCATAGAATGTCATGGCAGGAGTTCTCTGTGTCCTGATGTGAGACAAGTCCCCAAGATAAGCACTCTGTCAGCTGCTGACTGTGTCTTTATTTTGCAGAAATTATCAATGTTTGGTTAAACTGTTCTTGGGTTTGGAGTTCCTATCATGTTTTTCTCAGTAGATCACAGTTCAGTTAAAAAGCAAACACCAGAACGCCTTGAGGCTGTAACTCAGATGCTGCCATAGTTTCTCTCTCTTTTTTTAATACCTTTTTATATCTTCTGAAGTTGGCACTTGCACGGAATGTACTCTTTTAGCCGGTCATGTTCTGTCAGAAACCCTGTTGGGAAGAATACCCTGATAACATTCTGTCCACACGAGGGAGTACGAACTGGATTCTCTTCTATTTTCAACTTGCTGGATGTAAGTCTTGCTTGAATAAATAATCGTAAATATTGTTTACATTTTATGAGAGGGTGGAAAAAAATCTTTTCGCCCTTTTAAAAACAAATGAATGCGTGCTCTAATGTATAAAACCGAATTGGGAGCTTTGTCTCCCTTGTCAGTTGTGACTTTGTGGCAGCTCAGTTGCTCAAAAGGAGCACGAGCTCTAGCACTACAAGTCTGCTTCAGAACCAAAACCTGAAATTGTTTACACTATTTTTTAACAGAGATAATTTTTTTTAGAGTGTAATTTAGAAAAAGTATAATTTTAGTTGCCTGAATTCAAAGGGGTAAGAACATAAAACTTTGATGTTTAAGGGCACAAAGTGAATTAGGAGGGTGGAAACGTAGCTGTAGTCTTCTGCTGAAGATGTTCGGCCAGTTGTGGGTGAGAGGCAAGACTAGCTGGATGCTCTAGTGATGTGTCTTTGTCCATAAAGGGAGACCACAATGTACCTGATACAAAAGGTTTCTATTTTTGCTGAGGATGTAAGAAAAAAATTCGAGGAATAGCTGGAGGGAGTGTAATAAAACAGGAAATCACTGCCTGGGCTTACTTTAGCAGTGTGTCGGGTCAGGCAAGTGAAGCAGGATGGTCTGGGGATGCAGGAACTCTCTTACTTGTAGTAGCTTGGAGCTGCAGCAGAGGTGATGGTGTCACCTGCAAAAAATGCTGGCAAGTGGCCGCAGTGGGCTCGGAGGGGCAGGGTACCTGGGGAAGATCCCTTAATATTTAATATGCTGCCTGAATGCGGGTGATCTGCCATGTTGCTTATGGTCCAATATGTACAAAAGCTATTGTCCGACCTTATGCTGCTGCCCACGCTTTCGTCCTAGATGTGCGTAATAAAATATCTGCTAGTGAGAAACGCAGCGCGGGGTGTCTCGTTTGTGAACGGAGAGAGCACAGAGGCTCCATGAATCCTGCCTCCAGGAAAAAAAACCATGACAGCACCAAAAAGGAAAATGAAAAGAGTGTAGAAGTCCTTAGTTTGCACTTGTACTGGACAGTTCAGCTTTGTTATTTTAGGTGGTGTTGTGCGCTGGTGGCTCTGCGCGAGCCGTGTACTAAAATCTCAGTGAAAGAAATCAACGTATAAACCTTTTCTGCAATTCATGAGTCTCTCCCATGTGTGTTTTCAGCTGTTGCTTTTGAAGGCTACTCTGTGTCCCAAGTTTTTAGCATCTGCTTTGCATGGTGTATTTGCCAAGTGTAATATTTTAGAATACACAGAGATGCCAAACGAGGTGGAGGTTTTTTTTATATATATGCACATATGCATTACTTTGGTGAGCTTTTTCACATCTTGAATACCACCGTTTGGTTTACATGTTGCTGCTGGTGTAGCTTATGAAAAGTGGAAAAATGTAAGCGTGTTGTACCTGTGCTCCCCCTCGTAAAGTAATGGATGGACATGGCTGAGGAAAAAATGGAAATGGAGTGATGGAGAATAAGAATTGAAGTAACGTGCTGAACTTGATGAACTTGGATTAGAAAAACAAAAAAAGGCAAACACACCAAACCAAAACCAAAGCTCATCATTTGACCCTGGTTAATAAGCAGCGTGACTTGATATTTAAGAATTGTGGATCCTTTCGAGCACACCTCCAGTTCCTTCAGTCACAGCCGGAAGAGTAGGTGGGGCCCTCAGAGGTACCCCTGTGTCTCTTCCCTTGTGTGTCTGTCACACAATCTATCCAGCTCGTCTTTCTGCTGTTGAAAAAGCTGACATGGAAGAGGTAATCTGGAGGATGCAGGCTTGGGAGGATTTTGTTCCTCATTTGGGGAATTTTTACATTTTGGACAAGTTTGGTGTTACCGACATGCTGGTGCATTTGTCCTGACTTGACTGCCAGTGCTGTCTCCAGCATCACGTTATGGCCTTGAGCTGCTTTTGTCAGTGCCTCTGTGATGCCATGACTGACAGAAATACGGGATTCTTTAATAGGTAAGTTACATTTCTTGCCTAGAATCTCTCTGGGCCGTTTCCATAAGCACTTCCTATCGTTTCAGTTCCCACTCTGAGCTGTTGTGTTGTTTCTCTATAAAACAGGCTGCTCTGAAGTAGCTTATTGTGGATAGAAAGATACCCATTTGGAAGCAGGTGATGCCTCACAAATGAAAAAATGCAGGAGTTTTGGCATAAAGTAGAGGACTTCAAAGGTCTGGAAAACAGTGGATACAGACACAAGTTTCTTGGAATATTAGTTTTTAATTGAATGCATGTGCTTGTAGGTACTTACGTAGCTAGAGTATGTCCAGTTCTCTTGCTGCTGTAACACGCTAGAGCATTGAGAATGCATTTGCTGTTGAAGGGAAGAGAGCTAACTTTGAGAGGAGATTGTTATTACTCAGCATTAACAGGATAAAACAGCTGGTAAAAGAAAATCCACACTTTCTTCACAGAAGTTCAGTCTTAATCAGCAAAATGAAGAACCTCATTTTTTATTCTATCTAAGTTAAATTGTTTGAACTTATCAATATAGGTCAGAACTTTGCAGGACACCAGCCCATAGTAAGTTTCCAGTAATGAGCAATCTCTCCCATCGTTTGTTTCCTTCCAGTCTTTAGATAACTCGTCCTCTTTCATGTTGGAAGAGGTGAAAATGAATTTATAGCAGCATCGATTGTAGCTGATGTGCTTTTCCCCAGAAAACCGAGAGCTGTGGGTGGGAGTGACACCAGCTTTTTTAGCACAGATGCCAACAAAGATCTCGGGGGGCAGCCAAAGGGACACCTCCTTGGCTGCCACATACACCTTGCGAGCGACGTCCTGGGACATGACGAAAGCGCTCCCGTCGCAGTAATCTGGGTAAAAATCTTCCGAGTATTGGTGGATGGGAACAAAGCCAGGGCTTCCGGGGTCTCTGTCGGGCACTCCTTGATGAACGACCTTCCCAAGGTAAATGTCCTCTAGCTGCGTTAAGCCGAGCAAGTATCCAGCCAGGCTCGGAATGCCCACAAACACGTCTTCGTCTGTTTTAAGAATATACCTTGCGTGGGGACAGAAAGTCACCGTCCACTCCACGCTCATCAACATCTTCTGTGTCTGCGTCCGGGGAGAATCGATGAAACTGCCTTCGATAATGTCTCTGTGCTTTTGAGACTCTTCATTGATCTCCAGCTGGGTGGTTGCTGAAGCTGACTTTCCTAAAGCAAACAGAGTAAGGATGATGTAACCTCTGGCGTCTGTCATGTTGCCCCACGTCTGCCTGATCACGTTGCGCCTTGTCCTGTTTTCTGGGCTACTGCAGACAAGAATGAGCAAAAGTATCTCTTGATCGGAGCACGTTGCTGCGCTGCTGATGGTGTAAGAGAGGTTGGCCTTTAGAGGATCCACCTCTAGCTTCCTGGCCGTCTCCCTGATTTCGAGAGTCTTTGCATCAGTGTAAGACAGAGGTAGTGACCGCAGGAAGTATTCCTCCAGCAAATCTGCTCCAAAGAGCAGTATGTGGAAAAGCAAGATGTTAAAGAGAATGAAGCACCACTGGTGAGTGCGGAGCCTGCAGAATGTCAGCTGGGAGAGAGAAGACATGGACACTCAGTTATCCTGCTGCTAGAACAGGAAGGCTTTCCTTCATTTTATAGCACATTCATACAATTGTAGCTTTTCAACTATAATTTTTGTGTTATTAGTGTAAGGTTCTTTTCCTCCTAGAAATCTACTTGTTGCACAGCAAGATTCCAGGCTGAGAAGGACGTTATGGTGCTGTAATTTAGAAGGCTCCTTCCCATGAATCCAGCTGTGGAAATACTGAGGAATAACTCAATCTTTTCTGGTTTTAACTGGTTCCTGAAGGCCTGAGATGCCAGTGAAGATCTGTGATGTTAATAGGGAGCCCTTTGCTGGGAGGGTGAGAAGCCAAAGGGAAAGCTCTGATCCCCGGAGGGAACAGCCTCGTGCCTGCCTCGGACAAGCCCAAGCCCTTACCTGCATGGTGGTGGGAGTTCTCCCTGCGGCAGGGTCTGCGTTCGCGGTGGAGGTGGTTTCTCCCTGGCAGGGGCTTACGGGGCAGCGTCTGTATCTGGGTCTGTGGGATCCAGTTACTGCCCCGTACCCTGAGATGACGGCCTCCACCTCACCTGCCTGCAGCGAGGAAAGACGATCCTGGGGGGTGATCGTATTGCAGCTGCATAAAACACAAAGCAATCAAAACTCTAGCCCTTCCCTTTATTCATTCCTGACACTTGGGGCTGGGTCTCTGAGAAATAAAGAAGTGGAGGAGCTCTAGGGCTTTCACGGTAAATGGATACTGTCACGAATCTGCGCTAGGTTTAAAACCTTTTAGTTTTAAAGGACTATATGGATTTATGCATTTTTGTGGTGGTTGGTTGTCCTGGTGAAGAGCTGCAGTGATCAACCCCCGGACACGGTCCTGCCT